ACCAGTGTTCCTCAAACTGTTCCATAAAATGGATATGGAAGGAATACCACCAAACTCATTTTATAACTCCAGTAAAAGTTCTTGCCACATAAGGCCAGACCTCAGTTCAATCCCCAGAACCCACAGTGGAAGGAGATAACTGACTTTCAAAAGTTATCCTCTGGCCTCCAACATACACATGTACAGGCAAGCCTGTGTACACACAGGGATACATACGAACCAAACAATCATGGGAATTCCCCAAAATGTCAAAGATATAAACCAGGTTTATTTACCTAGTTTGGGTCATAAACATAGGTCAGAAGACAGAGAACACCCATTCCCCCCAACCTCCAATTTGGTAACTTTAGAACCACAACCACCATTTAGCACCATCATTTAGCCCATTAGAATGTTTTCTGTAGCCAAATTCTTCCTCCTCTAACATCAATAATGGTTTTTAAAAGGCAGACAGAACACATGAAGATCTTTATATTTATGTTACATCATTGATCTACTATTCAAGGGATTTTGGTCTTCCCTCTCCTTAATTCATGGATCTCAATGAAGCCCTGATATCCACAAACTTCCAGTTACCCCATTAGCATATTGTAAGTCCAGCCATGTGCAAGTTGGATTTGGAACTGGAATGACAGAGGATGGGGTCTCAGAAACCACCTGCTGATTTTTGTCTTTTGATTCTCAGAGTATCCATTTACAAGATGATTTCCTGGTGACCATGATTCTAGTGCCTGCCAGCTAGGGAGTCCTCCCATTGTAGGAAAAGTGTGTAAGGTTGGGGGTGGTAAGGGAACTCTGAATTATTTCTTGGAAATCTGTGCCCTGTCTATTGTTTGAAAGAGAGATGTGTAAGGCAATGGTACTGGAAAAGGGTGGGTGGCACTTTTAGCACTGGAAGGACCAGTTCCCTGTGTATCTGCAGTAGTGCCAGGGCCGGTTCATTGGGACCTCGAATTCTACCCACAGCTGTCTGAGCTAATAGTAAGGTTTCTCACCTGCATGGCTCACAAGTGTTCCTTGAGATCAGAACTCTTGGTATAGGTTTTCCACAGCCCAGGTACTGACGCATGTGGGTGGCCACCCTTTTCCAGGACCAGGACCTTCATTCCCTGTGGCTTGGGCTCCTCTGCCAAGTAGGAACCAGGTGGCATGAGCTCTTGGTAGAGGAGTTGCAGACTCCAGTCTTCTCAGGAAGGAAGGGTAGTTGGGTGATGGGGCATCCTGGGGGAAGCAGCAGGGCAGCAGTTCCTCTGGACCCAGTATTGGAGTAACCCAGCTAGGCACCTGCCACCCCAGGAGGAAGTTTTGTGCATTGATTGGGCTGCTCAGTTCCTGAACTGGGGTTCCCAGCCTAAGTGGGCCTCTAGAGACCCAACAATAATGTATCAGGAGACACACCAGGAGACTGCCTGCTGCTTGATCCTGGGGCACACTGTGGGCAGCCACTTTTGGGCACCACCTCCATGAAGTGGCTGCAGTTAGGGCGGCCTTGCCAAATTTGATGACAGGGGCTCTAGGCACAAACTTCAGTACAAACTTGCCCTCTGCTCCCAGAGGCTGGGGGTGCCGGGTCTAACTCAGGTTGTTGATGTTGGTCCACCAGGTTGAAGGGAGTGCTGGGGGAGGGCTCTGTCCCTGTGTTGATTGTATAGCTGAGAAGATCCTCCAGGTGGAGGGTGCGCAGGTACGGTTGTTGCTCCCTGGGGAGGACCAGGATGAGGATGAAGCTGCTGAGGACACGGAGATGACCACTGATTCCCGTTGGGGCAGCTCGGAAAGAATAACGTCTTTGACCACCTGGGTCTCCCTCCGTGGCTGGGTCTGTAGCCACTGACACAGACAGTGGTGGAGGGGAAGCGCGGGGAGAAAATGCTTCTTGTGCTAGAGCTCCTCCAGTCTGGCACCTGCTGGACACCGTCTTCTCTTTTTCCCCAAGCAGGACCCGCGCAGCGATCGCTGGCAGTCACGTTAGACTCGCCAAGTGGCCACCTCATTACTGTGGGGGCTCAGAAGGTCCTCGAAAGCCTAAAGCAAGGGTGCTACCTGGACCCCCCAAAGAGAAACCAAACCCATAAAGTCCCAAATTGCCGAGATCCTTTTTCTTTGGATTAGATATAAACCAGTGACATCTTTTTAAAAAGTCCCTTGCACCGGTGTGGCGCACGCCTTTAATCCCAGCACTCGAGAGGCAGAGGCAGGTGGATCTCTATGAGTTCCAAACTCTGAGATTAGCCTGGGTTTCATAGCAAGTTTTAGGCCAATCTTGGCTACATAGTAAGACCTTGTCTCAAACAAAAGTCTCTCTTAGGCTAGGCGTGGTGGTGCACACCTTTAATCCCAGCACTTAGGAGACAGAGGCAGATGGATCTCTGTCAGATTGAGGCCAACCTGGTAACCTGCTCTACCTAGTGATTTCCAGGACAGCTGGGGCTACAGGGAGATCCCAAAAAAAAAAAAAAAAAAAAAAAAGAAAAAAAAAGAAAAAGTCCTTTGCACACGAAAATTCTTAAAAGTTGTAAACTCACGGAAGTAGACAGCAGTAGGGCAAGTAAGTGGTAGATCCGATGGCCGGGCTGCCCTTTGAATCAGCATCTCTCTCCCCTTTCCTTGTCTCCTTGTCCTTTCCCATTCTTTCCCTCTTCAACCCCTCCCCTCCAGTCTCTCAAACATCCTGTCTCTCTCATGCACCACTCTGGCCTCTCTCCCTCCCTCCCTGCCTCCCTCCCTCCTCTTCCTCCTCTCTCCCTCTCTCTCTCTCCCCCCCCTCCCCCATTCTCTCTGCTGGTGCTTTTGGTTTCTTGGATGTTTTCTGTTTTGTTTTTTAGACAAGGTCTCACTATGTGGCTTGCCCAGGTTGGCCTCAAAGTTGTGATCCTCCTGCCTCCTCAGCCTCCCAAGTGCTGGGATTGCAGGTATGCAGCAGCCCACCAAGCTGACACTCAAGTATTTTTAAAACCACATTCAAGGGAATTCTGATATGCGGCAGACTTGACTATACTTTTAGTAAGGTTTAATAAAGACTCAGATGTCAGGTCTCTTCCTCAACACAAACTAAAATCATCTTAACTTCAAAAATAAGTGCAGCAAAGTTATATGGCCAAAATGATAGCTTGATGTGGGGGGTGGTGTCTAATGTTACTTCTCTTTTGCGTATACAACATTCCCATCCCATCTTCAAACTTAAATTTTGCTTACATCTGAAATTTCTGGAAAAAATGGGGACATTGTCTATCAGGTGTTCTGCTTCAAAACAACAGTAAAAAACCAATCCCCATCTTTTCCATTTCGTTGTACAGTAGTCCCAAGGAGCTTGCAATTTGAGAGAAACATGCTTTCCATTTAGGATTGGACTCTAGAGACAGCCAGTATGGGTTGAATGGTGGGATAGCAATTAGAACTGAGGATGATAAATCAATAGAAAACTGTGAAATTTAAGAACACTTATTTGAGTGTTTTATCCTGGCACTTGGTGATACATCGATTTTTTTAAAATTTGGCATGCATTTAGTAACTTTGTGAATAGATTCTAAGCAATGCAAAGTTATTTTACTTGAAAACTATGTTAATATCTTCTAAAGTTTTTGAGATTCTTTTATACTTATTTTATTTTTATGTGTTTGAGTGTTTTGCATGCATATATGTAAGTATACCTATGTATGCAAAGTCTTCTGAGGCCAGAAGGGGTGTCAGATCCATAGAACTGGAGTTATGGACAGTTGTCAGCCACCATGTGGGTGCTAGAAACCAAACCTGGGTAAGAGCAGCCAGTAATCCAACTCTTGAGATGTTTCTAATTCATTTATCACTCATTAAAATTAAAAGGAGCTTGGAGTAGGGGCTGTGGTGCAGGCCTTTAATCCCAGCACTCAGGAGACAGAGGCAGGCAGGTCTCTGTGAGATAGAGGCCAGCTTGGTCTACATAGTGATTTCTAGGCCTACTATGGCTACAGGGAGACACTGCCTCAAAAAAAAAAAAATTAATAAATAAAATAAAATAAAAGAAGAGTCTAGCTGTTCCCTATTGTTAAGCAGTCTACAAATTAAACAGACCAGCTGTATTAAGAATGGTCTGGAACCTGGCATGGTAACCACACACCTTTAATCCCAGCACTTGGGAGGCAGAGGCTTGGTCTACATAGTGAGTTCCAGCCAGCTGGGGCTACAGAGAAAAAAAAAAGAATGGTCAAAATTTATAAAGCTGCATGTTACTGTTTCCCACCTCCCCCAACACCTTTTCTCTCTTCTTGTGGTGCTGAGGATCAGAGTTGGGCCTTGTGTATGCTAGGTAGGTACTACTACTGCCAAATTCCCAGGCCTTGTTTTTTTGTTGTTGTGTTTTGAGACTGGTTCCTGCTGCACAGATTGGCTGGCCTCAAGTTGCTAAGTAGCTCAGTCTGGCCTTGATTTTCTATCCTCCTGCCTTAGCCTCTAGAAAGCTGGGATTGAGACATACATCACACTGAACTCACTTTTTTTCTTCTCAGTTTTCCCATACCCCATATCCTTTTTCTAATGGTGAAAAAATGTGTATTTAGAATTAGCCACCTCGACTCAGTTTAGATGATGCCAATTTTGTTGGCAATGTCCTCTCTTCTCTTCTCTTTCTTTTCTTTTCTGAGACAGTGTATCCTTATAGCCCTAGATGGCCTGGAATTCACTATATAGATGAGGCTGGCCTGGAGCTTACAGAGATCCATATGCCTCTGCCTCCCCAGTGCTGAGGTAAAGGGGTACACATGCTTGGTGCAATATCCTCCTTTTTAAAAAAAATTGCCAAATCAAAGTAAAACACCAACTTTGCTTTAAAGAAATAAGATAGCTTATTCTGAATCAAATATGCATGGTCTGGGAACACAGTTTTAGGTTATCCTGAATGACAGACATATAGCCTCATTTTTCCCTTTTTCCAGGAGTCTGAGAAAAAGCTCTTAGAAGCTAGAGAATGAGATAAAATGTAGGTAAATATTCTCAAAATTAGAAGTTAAGTTTTATGAACTTACTGTGCAATCTGAGAATGGGATATCTCAAGTCTTTGGTCAGCACATTTAATAATTTCTTCATATGATGTTACCTGGAAAAAAACAAATCAAAATTGATAAATTCTAGTATTTTTATATAATTTTATTTACTTTATCCTTTAAAAAAATCTTTACAGGGCTGGAGAGATGGCTCAGCGGTTAAGAGCACTGACTGCTCTTGCAGAGGACCCGGGTTCAATTCCCAGCACCCACATGGTGCCTATGAACTTCCTTAACGCCTGTTCCAGGGGAATCTGAAGCTCTCTTCTGACCTCCGAGGTATTGCATGACACAGATGCACTCACATACATGGAGGCAATACACTTGTACACATAAAATTAAAAAAAATCTTTACAAGTCCATGGAGGATAACAACCATATATAACTCCAGTTCCCAGGAATCTGACACTTTCTCTTGACCTCCAAGGGCATTACACAACACAGGTGCACTTATACTCAGGCAGGCAATACACTCATACACATACAATAGAAATAATATTTAAAATTTTTTTACAAGTCAACATTTAATTATCTGACTATGGATCAATGAAAATTTGCAACAGAAAAAAAATCCTCTTTCTCTTTTGACATCAGGAATATGAATAAAAATAGAGTTAGGCCTACTCATTAGCCTAAAAAAACTGAAGTGCTCAAAATTGAACAGCTCCAGTGAGAAGATTACAATCAAGTTGCCTTCCATACAATGACAAATACAACTAAGGATTATAGTCTATTTGGTTAAAGTTAATGCAGCTTATTTATTTTTATTTTACGTGTCTGAGTGTTTTGCCTGCCTGTATGTAAGTGCTCCTATGTGTGCAATGCGCATGGAGGCTAGAAGACGTGTTTGGTACCCTGAAACTGGAGTTATGGATGGTTGTTAGCTACCATGTGGGTGCTGGGAATCAAACCCAGGCCCTCTGCAAGAGCAGCCAGTGCTCTTAACTGCTGAGTCATCTCCTAGCCTGTGTGTGCGTGCACTGGCGTGGAGATCCGCCCTGGAAAGATCAAACCCAGGGTACTGCACATACTAGGCAGGCACTCTGTCAATTATGCCATCCACAGCCTGGTATCAGACACAGTTTTTTTTTTGTTTGTTTTTATTTGTCTTTTTATCTCCTTCCTCTCTCTCCTCTCCTCCCCCCTCCTCCCACCCTCCAGGTCAGAGGAGGATGGATTCCCTGGAATCAGAGTTACTGGGCAGCTGTGAATCACCTGATATGGGTGCTGGGAACTGAACTAGGGTCCTTTGGAAGAGCGGCAAGCAACCTCAACTATTGGGCCATCTCTCCAGCCCTCTGACAGCTTTTTTTAAAAAATATTTTATTTATTATTTTTATTTTATGTGTATGAGTGTATTGCCTGCATGTGTATAAGTGCACTCATGTTGTGCAATGCCTCAGAGGTCAGAAGAGGCTGTCAAATTCCCTGGAACTGTAGTTATGGACAGTTGGTTGTTAGCTGCCATGTGAGTGCTGGAAATAGAACCTTGGTCCTTTGTAAGAGCAGCCAGTACTCTTAACCACTGAGCCAACTCTCCAGCCCCACCCATGGACAGTTTTTGAAAGACTTTTTCTGTAGGAAAACCTGCACCTTATTTATTAAGCTGCCCACATGTCTTCGGTACTTGTCATTCTCTTCAATGAGTCTGCTGTAGTGGTCTTCTTCACTCTCTAAAAGACTTCCCAATTTTGTGATCTATGGAGAAACATCAGTGAATTTACTAACCTGGAAACTACTATGAAAACTGTACACAGGGGTTAGCAATGGAGGACAATCAACTCTATCTTATTCCAATATTCTCTTGAATCCAGTTCTACTAAGGCAAATCATGACATAGTATAGACCAGATCTGAGGTAGGCTGTATATAGAACAGATGAGCAGAAATTATGATGGAGCTGAACCTTCTCTGTAATTTTAGACTATGAACTAGCTTTACATAGCTTAACACCTATTAATGCCTGAAAATCCTGATGACAGCCAGCCTTCATGACCTTCTTTCCCATGTATACCCCAGGCAGACATATCTGAGGTAAAGCAGTGATGTGCTTGATGTGTGAGCCTGTCTGAGAGAGGCATACCCTTGCAAAAAAGATGCCTGAGATTTACATCTTTAAAATTTATTTTTTAGTATATGAATGTATTGCCTGCATGTATATAAGTGCACCCATGTCATGCAATACCCACAGAGGTCAGAAGAGGGCATCGGATCCCCTGGAACTGGAGTTACAGACGGTTGTTAGCCACCATGTGGGGACTGGGAACTGAACTCAGGTCCTATGCAAGAGCAGCTGGTGCTCTTAACTGCTGAGCCATCTCTTCAGTCCCTAAGATTTCTGTTGGGGACCCCTGTTGTGTAAAGTAGCAGTCTCTCCATGTCCGGATAGCCTATGGGCTCGGCTTCATTTGCAGAGACTCCTTTTATCAGCAGGGTGCCTTCCCCGGCTTCTTCCTGACTCATCTTTTGAAGTAGCCATGGCCTCAGGCTCTGGAACTGCCAGCTTTTCCTGTGTGATTTTCAGGCAGTCTGACAGCCTGGCAGGAGCCCACTTCCATATGTAAATAGGGCATCCCACAAAGTACCTATCAGCTAAGGCTTTTACCACTACCCCCACAGTATAAAGTATCCTGGTTTTCCCTCAATAATCGGAGCTGGATCACTAAGACTTGGAGCCGAGCTAAGTCACTGAATAAAGGGGCTGTACCACTGACTGAGCTGAGTTCTGTGTGATCCTGCCTCTCAGGAGAGAGCTGTCTCTTCGTAAACCGCGACTCACAGAAATCCAGCTTTCGCCATCCTGCACCTCCCCTCGTGACCCGGAGCTGATGGGTCCCGAACTTAGAGAGAGAGTGCACGGTGGATTGGGACGGAACCCAACCGGGCCAGCCCCGGCAGCAGAGAGCCTCAACAACGCGGAGAAGCAGGGACCCAAACAGCAGACGCGGTCCGAGGGACCCGCCGCACTCCAGCGACGTGTGGGAGACCGGCGCCACGCCCAGCAGCTGGTGCTCCGAGAAACCCGCACGCCCATAGATTTCCTTTTTTACGTGTGTGTGTGTGTGTGTGTGTGTGTGTGTGTGTGTGTGTCTGGGGAGAAGAGAAAAGGATGTCAGATCCCTTAGAGCTGGAGTTACCACATTAGGGAGTTGCCTAATGTGGGTGCTGGGAACCAAATTCAGGACCTCTGTAAGAGCAGTAAGTGCTCTTAACCACTGAGCCATCTCTCCAGCCCCCCAATTCCA